CTGGAAATGACGCAAAAAATGAAAACACGAGTTATCCTTCTGTATATTATAACTGACTGAAGTAATGAGCAATAACAGACACACAGTCGAATTTCATTTCATTGATAATTCCGTACAAAAAGTTGATATGAGACTGTGAGAGGTTATCATAAAAAGAATCGATTATCACTAGATAAGATAAAATGAACGAATTACTATTACAAAAGGTCTGTGCACTACCATGTTTTCATTACAGAATGAATAAAAACAAGGGAATGCACAGGCCTTTTTTATTTTTCTCATTTTCTCATTCGACCGTGTGTCTGTCAAAGCTCGTTACTTCAGTGAGTTATATAGAAGAAAATCCTGTGTTTGTCATTTTTTGCGTCGCATCCTATTTCTTCAAATGTTCATTACACATCTACCATAGCAATGATCTCTGTGTTAAAATTATATTTGCAATGTGTTGAACCAGTTCTGTCACATGTAATAATGACTAACACCAAAATTGTCCTTAAATGCCCGTTTCCACATAAGTGTGTTTAACCAGTTCTGTCACATGTAATAATGACCAACACCAAAATTGTCCTTAAACGCCTGTTTCCACATAAGTGATATCGAAGACAAATGAACCCGCTACGTACAGTACTTCAGGCATTGAATTTATACTCTCTACCGACTAATCCAAAAGTAATAGGCCTACTTAAATTTCAAATGAGTTATAGACTTTTTATATGCCCACATTGAAATGTTATATATTGTTGTCGCCCTTGTCCGTCCGTCCGGTGTCCACAATTGCTTGTGGACGCTCTAGAGGCTAAAGTTAATATACGAATGACTTTAAAGTATATACACAGTGTTTAAAGTCATGAGCACGAGCAGGGCTGCCGACAACCACTATCGCAGCGCAATTTGCGATAGGGGTAAGTGGGGCACGGTGGACCATTTTTCAGATATTCTAAGTTTACTCATTTCAGTGACACATCATTCCTTTGGGGTTTATACACTATGTAGACCAATATATCGGCTTCACTTTGGAATGATTGCGGGATATTTATTTTGGTGCACTTGTTGAAATTTTTAATGTAACCAGATTGATCCAAAGTGGTCCAATGTACCCCAACTACGGGGTACTTTGGACCGCCCTATGGGGCACATTGGACCAGATACAACAACATGTAAAATGAACTATAACTATTTATTTCAAACACATGCAAAAAAAATAAACTTGGTTGGTAGAACAATGACTAGTCTCTAACATGGCTTCACATAGTCAACTTCAAAAGTATGACGATAAATCAACATCGAACATGATCTTCTTGCAGGTTCTTTCTGTTCCACCAGTAGAAGTGGGTAGTGGAAGAATCATTACAATATCATCAACATCCACAGTTGCTATTTCTTCAATGCTAGGTGTTACAAAACAGTTTCCCATTGATTTATAAAATGAAACAACTGCCTCATCTGCATTCAAACTGGTAATAACTCCTGCAAAATATTTCTTAGTTTTCTTCGTGCACAACTTAACTAATACATAATAACCAACTTGTAAGTCAGTGGCAGTTATATCAGGTGGTAATTCTGGTTCACTTGGTGGGTCTGTGTCACTATTGTCATCTAATTCTAGCTCAAGATCTTCTTCGCTACTAGAATCGTTGTCATTTGCGATGTTACGCTTTGTTGTTTTAGCCTTCTTTAATTGTCTTTCTCTTTCTTCTTTCTCCAACTGTTCTTTTACAGGAGTATCTGTTAAAATACTGGTTGTCTTCCTTTTCCTAGTGACTTTTCGTCGAGGTCTAGCTTTCACAAAAGGACGTATTTGTTCTGGCGTCAAAGCAGCTCTGATTTCATTTGACTTATCGGTACTTGTTGATGGTAGATTTACATGATCATCACTGGACTCCCCTGTGGTAGTTTCATCATCTAACGTTATATCGGGGTTTGGTCTGTCAGTCACAAAAGCGCCTAAAAACTCATCGTCTTTAAAGGCATCCCTGTTGAATGGCCATATACCCGGTCTGCGAAATCCAGACATAATATTACTAGGTGTAAAGGCTTTTGGAAATGCAGAATTTAATAGCTCAGGCATGTTATAGATCGTAATAGTGTGTCCAGGATGACTGAGTTGCCAGGCATTACGGGACGATCTTTACATGCTCATGTATGTTCAATGAAATGATTCAGCCATTGGACAAATATTTCTCGGCTAGTCCATCCAGATGGGTTAGCAGCTCCAATTGTACAGGTTGGTGATCCATTTAGCATATGGGACTTGAAATTAACTCTGGGGAATATGAGCATTGAAGGTAAGTAGTTTCCGAGAGCATTAACAACACCTATCATGGTTGTAAGAATTCCACGCTCTGCAGATGTGACTTGCCCTACTTGTTTCGTTTTCCGATCAGCAATAACTTTAGGGGGTTTATGAACTGTTGTTAGACCAGTTTCATCCATATTGTACACATCCCCTGCAGAGAATTTGTAAGTAGTAAATATTTTCTCTAAGTTGTCATAGAATTCGCCAACATTCTTTCTGTTGAAACTGGTGCTTCTACTCAGACTTGTATCTTCTGGTTTTCGACATGACAGTGTTGGGTGTCGCTGCATAAAACCATTGATCCAGTCAATTCCAGCTAATTGATGCAAATCCCAGGACTCTGGATAAATTCTGTTAGTTTGTTTAGCATACTGCCATGCCAGATCTCTGGCGTGTTTTCGCGTCAGCCCATGGTGGTGTTTTGCTGCGGTCTTGATATAAGATTCCAAGAGCTCTTCTTGGAGGTCTGTTAAAACTTGACGAGTTGAATTACTTTTAAGAAAAATTGTATTTTCAACTCCAGATTTCTCGACATCCTTTACGTAGCGTCTTAAGGTGGTTCTAGCGATCCCCCAATCTTCAGCGGTTTTTCTCAACGATGCGCCATTCAAAACTAGTTTCACTGCTTCCTTCATATTGACTGCTGCAGTTCTTGGTTGGTTAGTCTTCTTTTTATATTTTCTAACCATTTTGTCTGTAAAATAATAAAATCATGACATATAAGTTACATTTTCCACACTATGGGGCACTGTGGACCACCGTGCCAATCTGCCCCACGGCCCCTGGTCCATTGTGCCCCATATCTAAAATCTGATTGACATTGAGGTTAGGTCAAATATGGATGAGCCTAGAAACTCCTCTATTTTACAGAAAAAAACAAAAATCATATAAGATTGCACTTGCGGATCACTAGACTGCTACTTTGATAACAATGTTAGCTATCAACTGCTCAAAAAATTAACGCGGAAAAAAAAATTAGGACTTTAAAATAAACTTTTACTTACTGCAAGTGTTCTTGTTGTAACCATGTGCTGTAGACAATATGGCAGCCTTATTACATCATTTCCTGGATACCAGGAATGGTTAAGAACATATCAAGAGTTATCTTCCCCCCAAAGGTAGGGTGGTCCACGGTACCCCTATGTCCATGCTGCCCCACTTACCCCTACCTATTTTGTCCCTTGCTAATCAAAAATTAAAATCTATTGTTTATGATTTCGCAGTAACTGCGAATCAATAATATGCTTGTCATTTTGGAGTTTGACACAAAGATTTATCCACATTTTGAAGACTAGATGGCTTTTTCAACACTTTTAACGTGTATAAAATATCAAATAAAATTTTATAAACAAAACTGATTTTTCTTTGACATTTTCTTTACGCACTACCCAGACACAATTGATTATACTATATACATGTAATACAGGGACATAACTCTGAATAGGGACTTTTTAACCGGAAATGGGGAATCAAGAAGCACCACTCATGTTGCGTGACATGTCAATTACATGTATATCAGTATTCAATTAGAAAACAATAAATCCAGTGTATCCCCCACTATTGTAAATAAAATATAAAAAAATAAACGTGTGTAAACGTATTGTAAAATGAGAAATCAAAATAAGAATTCCCGTAAAATATTATTATTATCACTTGTGTCTAGTTAATCAGGATTATTGGTAAAATACTGTGTGCATCCAATTGAACAAAAATAGTAACACACGATAAAAAGCAGACGAAATTGTTTTCTAACGAAGAAGTAAGAATTAAAATGAGTAGGGCTTTGGAAGCCAATGTCAAGAATTGGCTTCAGACATGACCTAAACAAAAGTCTACACCACATGCACAAGCTGTCAAAGCTACCTGTACTGTAGCAGTGCTAAAAAAATCTTTAGAATGAAATCTAATCAACAGTTAATATCCAATAGACTTAAGATTTATACACAGTGTTTAAGGTGACAAGACGAAGAAGCCTATTGATTGTCACCAATTTCGGATAATTACTGCCAGAGTTATGGCCCTTGATCACTTTGAGATATCTTGTGGATGCTCTAGATGCTAAAGTTAATATTTGATTGACTTCAGTTAGAATTCGATAACTTGTCTACGATATCACCTTAGGTGGAAGTGGACGTAAAACTCCAGAAACGAACGAACGAATTCGATAAAAGGGTGGACCGTAGTGCCGCTGTCCGGGCAAAATTTCCCTCATTAGCCTGTCTTCATTAGCCCAGTCGGAGCAGAACAGTAGGACGTTAAACCCCATTTTATTTCATTTCAAATGTATACAGTGTTTATGGTCATGAGACGAAAAAGTCTATTGATTTTCAAATATTTCCGATAATTACTGCCAGATTTATGGCCCTTGACCTCTTTGAAAAATCGTGTAGAAGCTTTAGAGTTTTAAAGTTAACAGTGTTTAAGGTCATGAGATGAAGAAGCCTTTCAATTTTCAACAATATCCAATGATTATGGAAATTGATATTAAATGGTTTGTATGCTAAGTGTTCTGTTAGAATAGGGCAGAACTAGAAGCCAAATGGGTTGTTAGTTGTAATCAGATTTTAGTCTGATGTAAATGCTGTGGGTGTATGTTTCGTTGCCTGGCAAGCTATCTTTGATCTAATTACAACCCTGAAGCTTGTGGGGAGTGTTTTACAAGTATTGATCTTTATTGAATTTCTTTTCTTTTTTTTTTTGATAGATATATGGATAAACGATTAACATGTAAGTATTTGTTTTCCATTGTTTTGAGTAGGGTTATTTTTAATGGATGCTTATTCCAAATGAAATTGAGTTAGCATCTATGTTTCGGCATGCACAAGGTTAATGTAAATGGAGCTTTTATTGAAAACCCTTATGGAAGATAGTACAGCTCTTAACGGGGGTTGGATGGCCGAATGGTTAGCACATGCGTGCTGTATCATAAGGCCTGTCTTTGAGTCAACTGACATGGTTTCGGTTCCCTGGTTGTCTGTAACAAGGAGTAGGGTCGTCTGTCCAACCTCGTGGGTTTTTTCCAGGTCCTCCGGTTTCCTCCCACAGCTAAAGACCCCTACGCACAAGTGAAGTATTGAAATAAAATTAAACCATATGTTAGTCCCGAAATGACCTAGTTTGTGTCGAGTGGACGTTAAACCCCATTTCTCCATCTCTCTCAGTACAGCTCTTAAAGTGATTTGGAAGCCATGGTGGCTAAGTGCGTAAGACGCTGGCTTGCTAGCCTGGAGGTCGAGGGTTCGCTTCTGTTGTTGGACGAGAAAGTTCATCAGGATTTTCTGGCATGGTTTCCCCTTGTCAGTGGTGCAAGACGGAGGGCCTGACAACAACAGCTGTCTAGTTGTTCGGATTGTACGAATAATCGAGGTCCCCAATACACATTGGCGTGCACATAAAAGATCTCTTGACAGCTGGAATTCGATATAAGAGTAGGCTGTAGCGCTGCTGTCCTTGCCAAATTTCCCCCTATAGCACACTGTATGGCGTATGCCCGTTTTGCTGTCACGTCCGTCGTCTACAATTTGTTGTGAACACTCTAATGCCAAAAGTTATTATCCGATTGTTTTAACATTGATACATGTATGTTGTTTACATTAGTGAGATGAATTATGGCATTTGTTGAACCTTGTGAACGCTCTAACGCCAAAAGTTATCATCCAATCTTTGTGAAATTTATATGCATTATTTACATTAGTGAAACGAAGAAGCGTCATGAATTTCAGCAATTTCCGTTAATATTTTGTTATGGCCCTTGTCTCACTTTGTTGCATCTTGTGCACGCTCTAATATCAAAAGTTATCTGCTGATCTGTATGAAATTTATAAGCATCATTTAAATTAGTAATGGGGGGAATCCTATTGAATTTCAAAAATTTCCGTTTATTATGTCTAGAGATATGGCCCTTGTTTCACTTTGTTGAACCATGTGAACAATTTGTTGTGAACACTCTAATGCCAAAAGTTATTATCCGATTGTTTTAACACTGATACATGTATGTTGTTTACATTAGTGAAATGAATTATGGCATTTGTTGACCCTTGTGAACGCTCTAACGCCAAAAGTTATCATCCGATCTTGGTGAAATTTATATGCATTATTTAAATTAGTGAAACGAAGAAGCCTATTGAATTTCATCAATTTCCATTTATGTCTCGAGTTATGGCCATTGTTTCACTTTGTTGAACCTTTTCAATGCTCGACCAAGAAATGTTATCAATCGATCTTTATGAAATTTATATGCATCATTTAGATAAGTGAAACAAAGAAGTCTATTGCAGCAATTTTTGTTAATTACGTCTGGAGTTATGGCTCTTGTTTTGCTTTGTTCAGCCTTGTCAATGCTCCTCCGACAAATGTTATCGTTCGATCTGTCTGAAATTTATATTCATCATTTAGATTAGTGAAACGAAGATGTCTATTTAATTCTTGTTTTACTTTGTGAACCTTGTGAACGTTCGAATGACGAAAGTTATCATCGGATCTGTATGAAATTTATATGCATTATTTAAATTAGTAAAACAAAAAAGCCTGTTAAATTTCAACTATTTTGTAAATTACTTTTAAAGTTAAGGTCCTTATTTCAGTTTGTAGACCTTGTGAACCCGCAAAAGATTAAATTATAGTCTGATCTGTATGAAATTGTCTTGTAAATGACCCCAATTACTGTACCTACAAAAGAATAAATATGTGACAACCCTTGTTAAACACTCGGGACGATTTAGGTGCTGTGGACATATGTTTCATTTTCGTTTTTGTCTTCATAGTCTCCAGCGTATGGGTTGTTCGCACATTCGGGCCTGCCACCCTCAACATTTTCTGCTCCTTACTTTAGCAAAATTTTCTGTTACTTGAAAAGTTAGTGACATCCCTTGCTTAACCATTCCTTTAAGTTTGAGAACCGCCACGATTATCATCCTCATTTTAGGAAGATGACCTAAAGGAACCCTTGTCAGCCCCTTTGGAAGCAAGCAACTCCATTTGAATAAATATGAATAATAAACACCACCCTGACATACTTAATAACAAACTATGTTGGGAAATTAAGTCACAGAATTGACAACAGACTGAGAGTGAGAAGTCCTTTGGGTTAATAAGATGAGAGATAGCATGATATATTTATGAGGATTTGTTCAATTTTCAGTAAAATTAAATGGCGGTCGACAGATTATTGGTACATTACGAGGATTTGATCCATTTATGAATTTGGTGGTGGATGAATCCGTTGAGAAATTGAAGAGTGGTGGAGAACAACCCATAGGAATGGTGGTAAGCTTTTACAAATAACGTTTTCATTATTGGAATAGACTAGATCCCATTTTTATACGCCTACATTTATCATCTGATTGTTTTGAAATTAATATATGTCGTTTACATTAGTGACATGAAGAAACCTATTTAATTTCAATAATTTTCGTTAATTTCTTAAGTTATGGCCCTTCTTGAACCTTGTGAACGCTCCAACGACAAAATTTATCATCTGATCTGTATGGAATTTATATGCATCATTTAAATTAATGACACGAAGAATCCAATTGAATTTCAGCAATTTCCGTTAATTACATCTAGAGTTATGGCCCTTGTTTCACTTTGTCCCCAGCCTTTTGAAGTAAGCAGGGGACTATTAAAATGGGTTTGTCCGTCTGTCTGTCCGTCACACTTTTTAGGACACAATAACTCTCTTTCTAATTGAGCTAGAATGTTCAAACTTGGTGTAGGTGTTTATTAGGTCAATACCTTGGTGGAGTTCGAATATGAGTATTTTCCGCTTAGGGTAAGCGGAGATAGGCAATTTGATTGGTTGATGCTTTGGGACACAATAACTTTAGTTATAATTATGTGAGAGTGATGAAACTTGGTATATAGTTTCATTACATCAATACCATGACTAAGTTCGATAATGAGCATTTGATCTGTACGAAATTTATATGTATCATTTAAATTAGTGAAACGAAGAATCCTATTGAATTTCAGCATTTTCAAATAATTACTTGTAGAGTTATGACCCTTGTTGAACCTTGTGAATGCTCAAATGATTAAAGTTATCATCCGATGTGTATGAAATTTATATGCATTATTTAAATTAGTGAAATCAAGAATCCTATTGAATTTCAGCAATTTGTCGATTACTTCTAAATTTATGGGCCTTGTTTTACTTTGTTGAACTTGTGAATGTTCAAATGGCATTAGTTATAATCCAATCTGTATGAAATTTATATACATTATTTGAATTAGTAAAATGAAAAAGCCGATCAAATTTCAACAATTTTTATAAATTACTTCCAGAGTTTAGGCCCTTATTTCAGTTAGTAGAACCTTGTGAACCCTCAAACGACGAAAATTATTATCTGATCTGTATGATATTGTCTTGTAAATAAATGCCCCCAATTATCTACAAAAGAATAAATGAGCGACAACCCTAGTCGACCGCTCGGACGATTTAGCTGCTGTGGCCGTATGTTTCGTTGCCTGGCAACTTATCTTCATTAAAATAAAATAGAGAACTTGAGCTCAAATTTCTAAATTATTATGTTTAACAATTATTAATGCCTGTGTTCTCTTGAATTATGCAATTCAGGAGACAAACATAGCATGTCGTAGCATCTTCCACACAACTTTAAAGCAACATTATTTTTCCGATGTCTGCACCATATAATTGTGATATTTAACATTCCCATTTTGTCAAATTGAAATGTTTGAGGGAATCGATCTGTGGTGGATTTAGGCTATCCTGAAAACATCTCTGTGTTATTGTCATGATCTGACCTGACGTGATGTTATATACAAAATTGAATTTGTAAGATTGATGTCTATCTCTTAAGAGTTACAAAAGTGATTCATTTTCATTGCATCTTATTATAGTTAAACATCAAAATCTTCAAAGAAAACTTATGCCACAATTTTTATATTTTCAGGTTGTACGTGGAAACAGTATTGTTTTATTAGAATCACTGGAACGTGTATGATAGAAGAAAAAAAAATTATAGCACATCTTTTCTTTTTTTTTACAAATCATGATGGTCAAAGAAAACTTTGAAAAGGATTTCAGATTTTTTTCTGTAATTTCCATTTATGTCCATGAATCATAATTATTTCATTTTCATTTTAATGTGGCAGTTGACATGTATTTGTATCACATTCATTTGTAAATAAACATCTTTCATTTAGTATATCTTTAAAGCATGTCTATTTGTTACATTTGCATTACCCTTCTTTATGTATTGAAATCGATGCCCATTAGCCCAGCGGAGTAGGACATTAAACCCCAACCAATGTCACTCGGTTTTATGTGGCACCCATACTGATATGGGCACGTTGGTCATTGGCTTTGTATTGCTACGGGCCTGGTTCCTTTCCTATATTGGTGCATATCAGATTGTAACTTTCTGGATTATGACCCCTGATTGTACCAAATGTGGGCATATCTTGCATGGCAACCACTTCTTTTTTTATGTGAAAAACTGAAATTAGTTACTTATAAAACACTGAATTTTATGAGGTGCAAGCCCACGCCCCACCCCCATTTGACATCGTTTAGTGTCACTTAACCGTTAACTGCAATTTCCCAATTTGCTAATGCCATGCCCCAAAAGACAAGAATGGCAACAATTAAGACATTTCAAACAAACTAAGCATGACGATTGTATAATGTCAAAATGTGTTAATATTCCAGTGCAATCTATAAAAAGTCCTGTCATATTAGATAACGATATTGTCTGAGCACCTTCTGCCAATATCATACATCTGACGCGTGTCTGGCGGAATAGAGCGAATTCATGTGATGCTATTGTCTTTCCATTTGGATTGGTGCATCTTTATCCTGGTTAACACCGTTGCCAGGAAAGCCGGTGATCAGGACGTATACTGCCCACGGGCGCAAGAAGGGGCCTCAAGTGGTTACAGATCCATGGCATCGGTTATGCCAAGTTAATCCGTTTAGAATATTTATAGTATATCATACACACGAACGTTGTGGCTGACGTGTACTCAAAATTAAACAGATGAATCCAGTTTCTGTATGTTGGGTGACTTTACGACGAAATAAAACCTGAATCCGCGACAAAATAAAATCCTCAATTAAAGATACATTATGGGAGATTTTTATAGAGAGTTGGCCATTCTTGCTATAACAGTTAAAATGTAGACGATGAAAGAAGAATATATTGAAAATTTCAGTCAAATTACTTTATTCTGAACAAAGTTATCATCGTTGTAATATTTGACTAGAAATGGTAGTCAAATATATCTTCACCTTGGCCGATCGTTTGATTGACAGGCGTTAACTCCACCTACATAATCTCGATTATCAAGTAACTTTTTCAATGGCTTGAGACGGACTTTTATTAAATAGATAAGAAGCGAAAGTTTGAAAGGAATGGACCAAATCAATGAGGCATAATTATAGCCGACTTCTTGTTAGCCTGCGTGTACTCTTGTACTGTAAGGTGACTACGTGACTCCCGAAGCAGACAAATAGGAAACACTACAGTGATCCAATGGGGCTGCAATTCAACTGGGGTGATTTTAGCTGTCAATCTGTTTCACAGAGAATTACGAGTCTCGTATAATATCTCTGTCATAGATGACTGCCTTAACACGTGCTGTCACAGCACGCGGTGTGAATCATTGGCTGAATGGCGCGTGCATTGTTTACATAAGACATAACTGCTTCGGAGAGAATGCTGCATTTTAGTCATTTTAATACCCATTTACACTAAATCGGAAATAATTTTTAACTACAAATACGTCAAACGCCTTTATTTATTTTTCCAATACATATATACAAAAAATGTTTTAGAATTTAATTTGTCGCAGGACAAAAGTTAATATTTCTAGCTCATTAAGCCGCATCAATGTCATCCTTATCAGTGATTGTCGCGGCCAAGCAAATATTCACTGCGGATCAGTGTGGTTAGCTGTATGGAAGCCTATAACTACCATTCATAATTTCTACTTTTCGCCTCTTTAGAACATGAAAGTCGAAAAGTAGAAGTTACGACAAAATGTGAGGCGACAAGACGGTATACAAGCCAAAATCAACTCGAAAATAGGAAATTAAGAAATAACACACCGCGATAATAGCGCCCCCCGCCACCCCGTTTATTTCTTAATTTCTACTTTTCGACTTTCATTTTGGCTTGTATACCGTCTTGTTGACTTTCGACTTAGTCATATTTTTGTATTTATTGATGTCAGTAAGAAGGCGCCAACACGCTATACAAGCCAAAATGCAACTCGAAAAGTAGAAATTAGGAAATTAACACACTGCGCTATTAGCGACCTATGATCTGTCGTAGCCTCGATCTAACTGATGACGTCAACGTAACGGTTAATAATCTCCGCATGGGGCGCCATTTTTGATTTAGCCTAATCAATCAGTGAAATCCTGTAGCCGAGCCATCCGTGGGTCTACAGAGTTGATTTGGGGCTTGTTTTTTTAAATAAAGATCTAATTTATAATTTCTATAACATCTGAAGCCTAAATTAAGACTCACAATAATCAGATTTAGCTCTTGCGTAATGTATGTTTAGAAAGTAATTTGATATGAGCTCGTTTCGGCAACTTGGATACTTTACTGAATTTTTACAAATATTTTTAGCCGATTAAACTTTTAGACTTTTTCTGGGGTACTATCAATGTTTGAAATTTTCTGTATGACAAGTTGCCTCGTTTTTTGTTTTTTTTTACTTTATCGACTTGTGTTGATATTTTTTGATATCAAAAAAGACTCGTAGGAGATTCTCTATTTGCTACACTAGGACCTGGAAGAGTTCTTATATAACCCGCGTTCTGGTCGATGTGAGGGGTTAGCCAATGAAACTGTGCAGCGAGTTCTTGGCGTGCCATGCACGGAACTGTGGGTATCCTACTAGAAACATCAACGCTGGTTGGTTAATCAGATGAATGACGTCATAAGGTCAAAAGCCGCTCGTATGTTCCCTGACGCAATCTGGCCAGATTTTCATGTACATGTAGTATAGGCCATTAAAAGTATAAAAACGTAACAAAATATAACCCTGTATTTTAATCAGATTGCGGCAGTCCGGTTTCCTCTCACTGCTAAAGACCCCAACGCGCAAGCGAATTATGGAAATAAAATTGAACCATATGTTAAGTCCCGAAAAGACCCAGTTTGTGTCGCATGGACGTTAAACCCCATTTCTACCTCTCTCCCTTATACATGTATCTGTAAATTTAGAGGTTGCAACTTTCTATTTTAGCCTGTGTATAGACGTTTTGTTTGTCTGATTAAGGGTGACTTCGGTTTATAAATAAGTGGCAAAGTTTGGACAGATTTGAGTAAATTAGCAAGTGCGGGTGCGTTGACTTTCTTAATAACTTTGAGATCTTCTTTAAGCTTGTTTTTTAGGTTGATGTGACAGAATTTATCTTTAGAAGCGAGGACCGCTCATCTCCTGTAAATACTGCGTGATCTGTTGGTGGAAGATGCTTCGGTAGCAGAGTTTGATTCTTCGATATTTTCATGGAAGTATCTTTATGGACTTGACTGACAGTTGTTTATAGATTCTTGGTCAAGCAACATAACACCTGAAATAATAGAAATCTACATAAATTGAACTATAAGTTAATAAACACATTTGTCATCTTCATGGTCAGGAATGGAATGTGTCTGTTGACCAAATTTAGTAATAAGTCCCTCCCAGAGTGCATTGTAAGGGGGTATTCATTCCATATTTTTAAACTGGAACCGTGACCAGCTATGACGTAAACCAATTAAGGTGTGGGCACTATAAAATTGAGTGTGGTGGTAGATTTGGCAGATCTCACACTGTCTGACATATGACCCATTTACTTATTTGAGAGCGAAGAAGATTTGTGACTAATGCTATAAGTTTTTATACGCCCACATTTTCATGTGGACGTGTATTGTCGCCCCAGTCCGTCCGTCCACAATTGTTTGTGGACACTCTACAGGTCACAGTTTTTATCCGATTTCAACGAAACTTGAAATATAGGTTTATCTTCCTAAGATCTCGGTTCCTTTCGATATTGGCATGTATCAGACTGTAACTTCATTGATTGTACGAAAAATCGAGCTTTTAGCTTGTGGACCCTATAGACTTCACAATTTTTATCTGATTTTGTTGAAATTTGAAATGTAAGTTTATAATTCAAATAAAAGATCTTGGTTCCTTTCGATATTGGCGCATATCGGACCGTAACTTCCTAAATTATTGACCCAGATTGTACGAAAAGTCACGGGTTTTTTGGCTTGTGGACCCTATGGAGGTCACAATTTTATTCCGATTTTAAAAAACCGTTTGAATATATCACTGTTACACCTTAATGACGGTTGAGTTCGAAATGGAGAAAATCGGACCAAAATTGCCGGACAAAATGGACGCCTCTCGAACGCAAACAGTGTAAAAATATGGTATATCAAGGTTGTGGATTTCCCGCTTCGATTAGGCCATTAGTTGAAGTTTGTCTATCCTTGATTATTGTGGGATATTCTCTTTCGACGGTCCCCTCTTTCAAAAGATCTGAAGACGAATTGGCACTACTGGGTAGAAAAATGCATCGGAAATGATCTACTGTTTGTGAAACTATGCTGGACAAACCTCGGGTTGTGTTGGAGATGGTGTTGTTTGGTAGCAGTGGATTTCTCCTTGAACCTGGGATCTTCATACGTTTACATGTTGTATATTCATCTATACTGCTGTATGTGTCTAATAGATCTTTCTGATCGCTTTCTATTTTGTTACTGACCACAATCTTGTGATTTGTATCATTAACGCCTAAGCTCTTCGCGATTAGTGTATCCATCCATACTGGTACATGGTGAATGTGCTCATCTTTTTGTTCCTGGTTCTGCCCTTTTCGTTGAATCCGGACAATATTTTCTTTTTTTTATTTCTCGAATCGCTTTCTCTATTCTGGTGATTTTCAGAACTGGCACGAGATGGGTTGAAGTCTTGCATCTACCATAGCTTTAATAATGGGATCAACTACAGTTGGACTTAAATCGATATGTTAATTTAACAACCATCTTCACGTCATCAATGGGGCGTGCTCTTTCAATGTATTCCTTGCCTTTATTTCTTGTACATGTACATTCGTAAAGTTTCTTGTAGAAATCAGCCTCTTCGTCGGCCCTCTCAACACTACCTTGTAGAATTAAAATACGGTTCACGCAATCATCGTTTTCATAATGTAG